GAATTGAGAATCGAAAAGAACCGAAATCGAAAGGAAGAATCGGAATCGAAATCAGAATCGTTCAAATCAAAACGATGCCCAACCCTAACTGCTAGTCAACGACTGTGGCCATATAGTGCAACCAGCTGGGGTACATTGACCATACGCTACCAGGGAGTGCTTGGGGCCTTCACTAGGGTCTCAGTAAAGATCGATGAGGATTAGGCTGTAATTACGGTAAAACACTAGGCTACGGAATTTTGGGAACGTTGTGGAAAATATGCCCAGCATGCAGGGGGATGGGGGTTATCACGGAGAACCACACCCCCTGCCAGCCCCAGCACAACATTTCAGAATTTCAGATTAGCTCTGCTTTTGAAAATACCCTCAAATACTGTATGTCTGGAAGGCATGACATCATGAAAAATTTGGTGACGCCCAAGCCGAGGCAGACGTGCCCTCAAAAGCCCTTTCTCATGTCTCATGATTCCATATGCTGACTGCATCCTCACAGTATAGTATTATATTTGAATCGATTTATATAACATCATTCTTATTAATTCAAACGCGGTGAGCATAAATAAGCACACAAACACCACGAATGCCTGCTCATGCAGTGGGGGCGAGTCGAGTTGGACCTTCAGCCCCGTCAGCGTGAGATCGCTCTCGTCTTTGGGCACGGCTTGTGATGTGCCTGTTCTGTGCCGCTTTTCGCCCATGAACACAGATTCTAAGGCTGCAGCACGCAGAACAAAACCCTCAAGACCCTTATTTTTAGCAGGAACCTTTATGCAATTAAGACCCCTGCAGAATCAAGAGCGCTTTTTTTAAGCTCCTTCAGGCTCTCAAAGTGAAGGGAAATGAACGCCATCTAGACAATTATGACACAAAACCGGGGAGAAAATTACACTTAGTCGCCAGTCGAACATGGTCGCCGTAAGGCAGATAAGAGGCACAAGACTGGCCTGTGAAATATGGAATAAAACATTTCTCTTCCCCCCCCAGGAACGTAAAGAAACAGCTTTTTACTGAAATATGTACAGTATCACTTACCCCAAACGTGTCCTCCTCGGGCCTGGGGGTGGCACTGACAGTGGGGATTGGGGTCTCTGTGAAGAAGAGCAGCGTGTCATGAAGGTTACAGTGCTGTGTGTGTGTGTGTGTGTGTGTGTGTGTGTGTATGCACCCTCCAATCCCCCTCTTTATAAGGCATTCCCAACAGTTCCAAATACCACATCAGCACCCTTTATGAAATCCATCACATGCAACCCACTTCCTTGTGAAATAAATCTGAATATGAATACAAACGTGTGTTTGTGCGTGTGTGTGTGTGTGTGCGCACACACACATTGGGAATCAGCAGCACAAGCTAACAGCTGCACAGCTCGTCAGGGAGACCCATCTCAAACAGCACACACAGCCATGAAATTGGGTGTACAGTGGTCCATAGCCCCGCCCCCACCAGAAGTGGGCGGGGCTAAGCACTGGGCACCACCCACAATCTTGTCATTCAATAATTAATTAGACACTCTGCACCACTCCTACCTCCCTGACTGCTTGCAGTACCAAACCTTTTGGCCTTTATTCACACCCATGATCTCTTTAGGAACTGGGGGAAAATCACAGGGGCTCCCAGATGGGGAGGGGGTGGGCGGGCATGACCATTCTTAATCCTCCAATGGGGCTGGCTCATGGAGGACTGGACACGGTCCAAAGAGAACTCCATCATTCAGCTTCATTAGAGCAATGACAGTAACAATCTGTCACTGACCCCCCCCCCCCCCCCACACGCCCAACCCCTTAACACACTCGGGCTTCACAGTGCGTGAAATACCCTGATGAGCTCTCCGAATACATATCGGTGGAGGGGGGGGCGGGGGGGATGGGTGCTCAAACTGACCAGACTAGGGGGTGTTGAGCTGTGCAGGGAGAACCAAGCGATCAGGCTTGTGTGGTTAGCATTTTACAAACGTTTGTCTCTTCACTCCACCCTGCCCGGCATTCCACTACTCATCAGAAATCATGACCCCTGCTCTGTGTCTGTGCTGACTGACTGTAGACAAAGTGAGATACAGAACACCAGAAAAAGAAAAGAGATGTGAGACACTCACCATAGTCATACTCTGAAAGGGATAAAGCAGAAGACAGGCATTATTAATCAAATTCCGAGTCAAACACACAGGAAGTGCTTCTCGTTTCTGAGACACTCTGAACAGCCACCTGAGCTTTAAAGCTGCCAGTGGAACGCGGCGCTTCATGTGTTCAGAAATACGTCACCAGTCCATACACCCCCAACCCCCCCCCCCCCCCCCCCCCCCCCCCCCCCCGCACACCACAGTGACCATCAGCCACCTACCGGTATAATCAGTGGGAGGGGACTCCAGGAAGTGCCCGTATACAGTTTTCGTGACAGAACCCAAAAAGTTGCTGGCTTCCAGGGTGTAGTTGCCGTTGTTTTGGTGGGTGGGGTTCCTGAAGGTGAGGCAGCCCTCCAGATAGTCCTGGTAGATCTCCATCTCTGTGCGGATGTAATCCCCCACAGGGATCTCCTTGTCCTTGTAGAACCAGCGTAAGGTGGGGTGGGGGTAGCCCCGCACCGTGAACTCGATGCAGGTGTCATGCCGGCGTTCCGGCTCATCCAGGGTCAGGATGGTGGGGGGGACTGTCGGGAGATGCGAAGCATGTTGAGTGGAACACGTCTACTGTCATTCAGCTCTTCTGTTTAATCTGCTATGCCTCCTGATTCATACAAGCCCACCTCCCTGCACAGCGCCAGAGACTGCCAGTCTGGGGTCTCAGAATACCCCACCGGGGTCCATTTCATTTCCCTCTTTCATCCATCCGAAACACACGAGGTAAAAACCATGGGATTATCAGTGGACAATCACGTCTGCTGTTTGCTGACAGCTAACATAAATTCACATAAAGTTTGTAAGCTGAGGCCTTTATCCAAAACCAGAGAACCTGCTGGATATTTTACTGAAATTCAGGTTGAGTACTTTTCTCATGGGTTCCACTGTCCAGCCTTTTTTGGGATTTAAACCAGTGACCCATGTCCTTAACCACTAGGCTTCTGGCTGCTGCCCCTGTGTAATGGGAGATGGGAGATTTTTCCGGGATCTTCTGGGGGAGGATCACAGTCCTTTTTTAGTACCCAAATTTGCCCCAGGCGTGATGTCTGCCCCTCTGAGTCTCGCCCTGGTGGTTTGACACGGCAGAACGCATTTGGGGCTGCGGGGTACAATCTCAGGACCCCCAGAGGCAGGTGGGACACGGAGCCCAAAGAACATACGGGTGCAATAAAGGAGCGAGCGGTCTAACAGCGATAACATAACTGCATGCTCGTTAGTCTGACTAATCACCGCAGCTGTTAGTGGCGTTTTATGACAAAAATCGGGTCACTTTTGTTTAATCGGGAAGTGGGGGGTTGGGGGTTACTAACCAGGGTATGACAGACATGCCCATGTAGCCATGGTTCTGGTTCGAGTCCCAGCACAATTCAGCTGTTGTACCGCTGGACAACATGATTAAATACAAAATTGTTCTGTACCCAACCCAGCTGCACACAGTTAATATTAAATGCATCACCAAGGCAGATAAATATTAGGCACTGCTGTCGCTGTGTCTGATGAATTGAAGATGAGGTTCATTTATCAAGAAGAGAACATTAGACGGCATGTTTATGACGTGCGTGATCTACGACGGACCCCCGGGAGCAAGTGACTTATCGGCCGGGACGTACACTGCACGACCAGCTGGACCGAGGCGTTGGTCATGCCCACCACGTTCTCGGCGATGCAGGTCAGCATGTAGCCGTTGTCATCACGGCTGATGTTCACCAGCGTCAGGTTGATGGAGTGCACGTTGGGCCAGTAAACGTTGGACTGTGGAGGAATGCAACATCAGGGGGTGTCGCGCCAGCTCACGGGGGGGTCGGGGTGCCGTAGTCAGTTCACCGGCTCACCTGGTGAGTGTTGATGGAATGGAGGCCGCCAACGGTCCAGTCGACCTCGGGGAGTGGAGTTCCTGTCCCGTTGCAGGTGATGGTGACGTTGTCTCCCTCCATCACAACGAGGTTGGTTCTGCTGAGGTTGATGTCAGGCAGATCTGAGGACGAGTCATGGGATTGAGTGGAAAGCAAGGCTGGACGATCAATTACATTTTCATTTCAATCACCATTTCGGCTTCCAACAATTATCAAAAAATAATCGCAATAAAACAATTATTCTGCTGATTTGTGATTTGATTTCACAATGATGCTCCCGTCTTGTCTTGTGTTATAAATCCAGCGCCCCCCTTTCTAGCCTCATTTTATTTGTTTCTCAGTTGAATCATATTTAAAATTCAAGTAAATCCATTATTAAGTTTTTAAGTTCAATAAAAGTGTGATTTTCCAATGTCAATGGAGTAATCAATCGTGTTAAAAAATCGTGATCTCAATATTGACCAAAATAATCATGATTATGACTTTTACCGTAATTCAGCAACCCTAGAGGGCATGGTGGATGTTCTCATGTGAGCACAGACTATCAGAGGTGGGCAGTCTAGTTTCGAGTTTAGAGAAATCTAGACCACAATTTTGTTTCAACCAGGCAATTGAGTACTTTGTGACTGTGATTCTTTATACTCAACTGGTTGGTTGAAACAAAATTGTGATCTGGACTTTTACTCTCTGACCTGAACTACCCACCTCTGAGCACAGTAAGAATGGGAAGAGGCCTACCACACTGTGAGATGTTCATGCTGCTGAGCAGGATCTTGGAGACGCCATTGTTACAGAAGAGCCTCTGCGTGTGCAGGCCTGCCTCTCCTCTGTGCTGCCACAGCTGGATCCAGCGAATATCGCAGCCACACTTAAATACCACTCCCTCCAGCCTCCTGCAAAATAAGCATAAAAAAGAAATGGATCAATAAATAAATGATCACTAATAAAGGCCATTTCTGTCACTCACAGCCAGGTCAAACTAAGCTAGAGGATGTTATTTGCTGAAATACAGCATCGGTTGGGTCTTGGGTATGGAGGAAAAGGACCTGAAGCTCTTGCAGGTACCGGAGCCACACTGTGTGTAAAGCATAAATCTGTGCTATTCGGTCACCCCCAGAACGTCACAGGCACAGCAGGACAGAAGTTCTATAATTTAATAGAAGCTCATACCAGGATGTCTAGAAAATGTCGACATTCTAACACCGTGGTGAGAATTACAGGACTGCACGTCTTCTACAAAGATGGTGTGAGCTGCACTGTTTGGCTGTAGATACCTTCACAGTCAGCTACGTTTAAAGAACTTTTTGGAAATTCTGTAAGTTGAGTGCACCTGGGTGCTTCAAAGGCCTCAGGATCGCCAGACTGGATGTGAGAATCATGGGAGGCTGGAGGGGAAACCAAAGGGCACGTATTTTTAAGAGTGGGGGTTTGAGGGGGTGTGACAGGGATAGAAATGAAGTATCATGAAACAGAAGAATCACACCGTAGCTGCCATGAGCAGACTCCCCTAACGGGGACCTTGACTGGAGAGTCAAGCTTGGAGTTCAAGGTTTATAGCTTTAAGTGAGCAGCACAGTCACTGATGCAGTAATACTCTTATATGGCATAGAGATGTGAACATAGTATGGTAAATACAGACCATGTCCATAAAATAGGGGATTAATTATTTTATTATTTATTATAGTTATTATGTCTTTTGACCTTTTCATCCCTTTATATTGTATATATTCCATTCCATTTATTTTTTATTTATAGATTTGTGTAGCTTTTATTTACTTATTTTACGTAGATTATTTCCATCTTCTTGCAATATCATTCACTATTTGTTGCTTCTTTGTCTTTGGTTTTATTTAAATGATTATAATAATAATAATAATTATTATTATTAATAATAATAATGGTATCTATAATAATCAAGGAATTATTATTATTGTTATTATTATTAATAATAATTAATTATAATAAATAACAAACAATAATAAATAATAATAATATATAATAGAATAAGTGCAGTGTCACAATAATCAGAAGTGTCTGTACATTTAGCACGTGGACCGTGAATAACAACACAGTGCAGAAAAAAATGCATCACTGGTCTACGATGAATCTGAAATTTTAAAACCAAATATATCACATAACATAGAACATATCAATGCTTTAAATATCAATGAATACCCAGGAGAAAGTTTTACTTTAAACTAAAGAATTACAGTATTCAGTGTAACACTACAGCCGCAGATTAGATTGGAACCCGTCGGCGTGGTCAGTTTCGGGTCAGTTTCGGGTCGGTTTCGGGTCAGTTTCGGGTCGGTTTCGGGTCGGTTTCGGGTCGGTTTCGGGTCGGTTTCGGGTCGGTTTCGGTCAGCAGTATTTTGACACTGCTTACTTGTCGCCTTTGTTAACTGGAGAGTCTTTCATTGATCCAGAGACAATTAAACAGCAAAGAATTTAAGTTCACATATGAATCCTGCAGCAGCTGCCATCTGCCTTGTGGAGAATTAGTGCACATCTATTATACTTAAAGCATCAGCTTTTTTACGTATCAACTAGCAACACCGAAGAGCAACAATACGGCTAATCTGCAAGGATCTTAAGCATGTTTGATGAGCATCTCAGCAGCGATCTGGACCGCAAAGTCTTTGGCAGGTAAGCCCTTCAGAGGAGCTGGGACGAGGAGTTTCACCCTTCTGCTCATTCACTCGGGGAGGATAGCCTTTCCCCGTTACAAGATCGGGCCGAAGATATGAAGAACACAGGCAGGCATATCTAACAAGCGGGTCCGGGCAACGCAACTTAAAAAAGGGAGAAGTATCAAAATTAACGTCCTGAAGGAGAGATGTTTTTCATCGTACAATCTCACCCCAATAACAAAATCTGACAGGAAAAAAATGGTTTTGTATTCTGCTCAAGGCCAAACTATCCAGGGTCATTGTTAAGTATGTGCATTTTAAGTCTTTGATGAATCGTGATCAAAGCTTTCGGAAAAAGACCCATGAATACAATCAGAGAGACGGCAGCCACTTTAATGGGGGCTTCTTAAAGTCATTTATTGTGGATCTCCATAATCATCCAGTCCTAATTATTTCAGCTAAGGACCACCCTACTTTATGAAAAGATACGAAAGATAAATCAAATAAATTATCTGTTTATATTGATTAATAATTGACATACAATAGTATATAACTACAGTATAGCAATGTTTGACACTTGTTATACGTCAGATACAGGTTATTCTACGTGGAAATTCCCTTGCAGACGTGAAGAACACGACTGAGGTGGACATTATGATTACCTTCCTCCGTCTGCAGGTGCAGACCGTGGCCCGGAGCCCCGACCCACTTTCACTTAATTTCTACAGCTGAACTCTGTTAACTTAAATGTAAAAAAATGACTAGCATGTTCTCTTGTTAGGGTGATAATATGGACTAGTGTACTAGCATAAACTGTGTAAAATAAGTGGAGTGGCTTCGTACACAGGGTGCAGCAGGGCCCCCCCTGGAGGCCGTTGGTGGTGCTGCATCAGCACGGCAGCCTCGTCAGCCCTGTATCATGTGAGCTGGGCTGCGAATGTCTGCAGCCTGCAGGTGCTTCCCTCATACCTGGGGTGAGTCCCCACAGGACAAAAACAATTGCTTTGAGCTGATTTTTCTATTTTTCAGGAGAACCACTAGCTACTTCATGTTTAACCCAGTAAAAAATCTTCAATTTATTATTATCTATAAATACAACTCTGCGTGGGGTGGTACAGTGCTGCACTGTCGCTTCACGTCTCTGGGACCAGGGTTCGAGTCTCTGCCAGGGTTCCATGTGTGTGGAGTTTGCATGTTCTCCCAGTGTCATCGCGGGGATTCCTCCGCGTACTCTGGTTTCCCCCCACAGTCCAAAATCATGCTGAGGTTAATTGGAGTTACCAAATTGCCTGTAGGTGTGCATGTGTGAGTGAATGGTGTGCAAGTGAATGGTGTGTGAGTGAATGGTGTGCGAGTGAATGGTGTGTGAGTGAATGGTGTGTGAGTGAATGGTGTGTGAGTGTGCCCTGTGATGGGTTGGCACCCCATCCTGGATTGTTCCCTGCCTTGCGCCCGTAGTCTCCAGGATTGGCTCAGCGACCCTGAACAGAACAAGCGGTTACAGAAAATGGATGGATGAATGGATGGATGGATGGACGGACAACCGTGTCCACTACAAGAGCCTGCAGCCTATCCCAGGCCGCACAAGGTACAGACCTCCCTGAAGGTGGCGCCAATCCATCCCATTCCACACACAAGCATCTGAAATAAAATGCCGAAAAAGACAAGAGTTTCCCTGCTTCCTGAAAAAACCTACCGTCTTATGTTTTAATTTCAGTTTAAAGCTATTTTAACAATCTAATTGTTATTTATAATGGCACAGGCCCTTCAACATCAGCTGATGAGTGGAGTTTCAATTAAAAATGCTCTCTCCTTACTCTCAAACTACACAGCAGGGAAAATCGCTTATGCTTCAAAGGCAAGTGCAAGTAAATCCATTTTAGGGGGTGCAGTGAAAGTGGCGCACAGAGGTTAAGAAGCCGTCCAGTGCTGTTTGTCTTTGGGTTGTAAAACCGAGCCGAGGATGAAGCCAATTATTTGTATAGGAGAAGAGTTGGTTGTTCTCCATACTGATACAATGCTGATGTCAACCCAAGAAATTTCTAATAATCATCGTGAGAACCTAAGAGATTCGCAGGCTAAGGAAACTCTTGCACGATTGCAGATCTGAATTTATAATCTATTTATTTCTTGGCATAATGTGGAATGGACGCACTTGTCTGGTTTCCTCATTTAGAGTTAATTGAAGAGCTAAATTGTTCCCGAAACAGAGGCGACTGCAGAATCCCAGATATGTGGGTGAATTATTAGCATGAGAACAACGCTGAATTGTTCTCTATATTCCTGTTGGTCTTAGGGTCTGAAATAATTCTGGGGAGGTTAATGATTTAGCTTCACAGTACATCCTTGCAGTTTCCTGGACCAGGTCACGGGGGGAGGTTCATTTATACTGATCTCTCAGCATCAAGTCCCATAGTAAGAATGTCATTTTGACTCATCCAACCGGACGTGGGCATTGGACTGGCTCTCATGCTTCATAAAGTTCCCCGTGCCACAGGACATGAGGCGATATCCCTGAAGTGGTGAAGAACGTGGTCCTAAGATATGCTTTTCTGCTTTTTTTTTGGTAAATTTATTTGACATACTTTGCCACTGGCCCAGAAGCAGCCGGTATCACCTGAAGGGGGAACAGGCGTATTTGGCATGTGATGTGGTTTCAGACTGGATGCATCATTTTTATTTTTTTCTTGGAAACTGAGATAGGACAGAAGCTGAAAAGCCTGGAAATTTCCAGCTCGTTATCCATACATACTGTAGGGAAACTACCCAAGCGGCAAGTCTGAATCGGTCACCCGCATCCCGAAGGTGCCCCATTGGACGGCCCCCGGTCCCCCTGCTGTCGATGACGAGCAGCGTTTCGCTGGGCCTGTCGCTACCGAGGAGCCTCTAGGCCACCAAACGGAACAGGTGGGGCTGCCAGAGCCCAAGCAGATGGCCCGGCTCCGTCAGAATGCCAGTGTTTACTCACGCCGTCACATTAAAAGGTGCGACCTGGGAGGAAATGAGGGGGAGGGGGGTGAGTCGGAGCTCAGGACAGCCCCCCCCCCCCATCTCATATGTCACCCCAACAGTGATTCCTCAGGCCTGGAATCCCCGAGTTCCAGCCCCAGGTGAAACAAGAGCCCCAGACGACACCATGACCAGTGATAACCCATTCTCGCCGTCGCTCACGCCGTCTCCGTAACCTCTTCTCCTGCCGCTCCTCGTCCATCTCCACGAAAGTGTGGAGCAGACAGCTGCTCCTAAACGACTCCTCCAGTCACAGCACAGGTGACACGGTAAAAGAAGGTGATGTGTGGTGAGCAAGCAGGGAGAGGCCTAATTCGCCTCCAACCAACAACCAACCGACGCAAACCATCTACGTTTTTAAGCGTGAGCAGCTGCTCTGTTCGGTCAGGTGACTCTCTCTCATCACTCTGTCACATCTTTTCTTCTCCTGTTCTCTCCTTCAGTCTGGTTTTGTTTCCCCTCTTTGCACACCTGGCCAAACGAGCTTCACTATCCGCGTCTGGCATCCCTTAACTCTTTGGGAAGACGTCCATTTGGCTACTAAGGGGAGCACATACACACGCTGCTTTTAAACTCTGGCCAGCTGAGGATAAGGTATTTAGTAACCTTTGAGGAGATATTAGACCAATAAATGAGTCCATGCTCTGAGCCAGATGCTTATTAACTTTAACTTTCCACTCAGAAGCTCTAGATGCAATGAGAAATTCCTTCTGAAGTTTCTATACAGACATTGAAATAATGCAGAATATAAAACCCACATTGTTCCCCATGATGCCCATAACAGGGTAAACATGCTGTTGTGTTGCAGCCCGCTTGACATATTCATAATAAAACTTTCAGCACATTTTTCATGACCTCTTATGAATGAAAGGTTATTACAAATTAATAAGCTCATAACTTTTTATCTCCCCGAGCTTGGAGGGCTATGACACAGCATTGGCTGTTTGTTGGGGCTGATAGGCGACATTGTGAATGGTTATCCATTGGCTCGTTCACAGTGCAGCCAAAGGGCTGAGGAACACTGCCCCTAGTGGCCATACCTCAGCATCACAAAAGAAAGCGACTGCCCCGCCTCCCCTTTCACTGTGCTGCGTTATCCTTACTGCATCTGCAGCCGGCTTTCAGCCTTTTATCCTGATACCAAGCTGAACAGTAAGATTACGTTCGATTTGCCTTCAGATAGAAATCATTGTGAGTTTGGGTGCCTTTCCCTGAGTAAATCTTACTGATTCCAGACTGTCCAGCTTGATGATGACATCATGTAAAATTCACAAACACTACTCATCTGATGCTTTCTACCCAAAGCGACTTACAGTAGAGAGAAGGACGTACAATTTATGTGTGCGTCCTGGGATTTGAACTCATAACCATCATCTTGTTAACACAATGCTCTAAATGTTGAGCTATAAACCAGACTGCAGCTCAAGACTAAACCTCCAAGTTCCAAACTACTAACTGATTCCTTCATTGGCTCCTTCATGTTAGGTTACGTTTCACGTTTCTTGGATTTTATCTACTGCTAAAAAACAGGGTGATTGCAAGTCAACTTCCAGCCGCAATACGATTGAACGCCAAATCACATCCTCCTGCTTTAAATCCATCAATGCTTCAGTTACCCACAGAAAGACAACATGAATACTTCAAGCTCTTTAAAACAAATGATCCTTTTTTATTGTCTTTGATTGACTGGATGCTCACGCGAACAAGAACGCTGGTCTCTTCTGTTTTTTTTTCTTTCATTTTTGAGTTTGTTCTTTTCTCTTATGACACCTCTTGAGGGATAAATTGCGACGAAATCCCAGAATGGGGGGACACTTCGCTTTAGATGCAGAGCGCTCGTTTGCGCTGCCGCTGACAGCTGTTCCCGGCTCTCGCCGTGTTCCCCGGCTGTCTGTCTCCACTCTAGCCCCTCCCACCCCACTCTCCCACTCTCTCTAACTCGCCCGAGGCCCAATTCCTGCCCTGTACCCCCCCCTGTGGTCCTCCCAATGCCCCCCCTGCTGTGTTTCAGCTCAGTTAAATGTCTAATCCGTGATGCAGGCTGTGTACTGCAGCCTTTGAGGGAAGACCTAGATATACAGAGAACTTGCTGGGAAAAGTTCTGGAAGCGTCGACCTGAAACAGCTTTGCCGGTTTTTAGTCACTTGTTGATTGAAATATATATACGCCTACCACTTTAAATGAATGTATACAGTTCCTGTGTGTTACTGAGCCACTGAATCCACCTGCACATTCAGCAGAAATGCTCCTACTCTGCAGCAAAATCTGTGCTCGTCGTTCGTGTGCCGAGGCCCTGTTCTTACGCTGCTCGCTTGAACCTGGAGCCTGATTCGCTGGCTGTGATTATCCACGTGCAGGAGACTCTCTCTGATCACCGAGAGCCGTGTCACTGCGTCATTGTCCTCAGGGGGCACCCATGTAAGAGCGTAGGTGTGGGCGTTTCTAAGCTCTCAGGCTAGCAAAGTGCTGAAAGAGGGGTGCAATGCAGATACTGGGGTCTACATGCATGTAGACACCCCCACTCCCCCATCTCACATCTCCTCAGTGTTATCTGGGTGGGACAAATACCGTAAAGGAGATGGGTGCCCCCAGGGGAGGTGTCCCGCTTCCATGCCTTAAAATAACACTTTGGAGATCACCGCCTTTAAAAATACCCCTCCTAGTTTGAGTGTGTCCAACGCAGCGCCCACGCAGCGCGCAGGCGGGCAGGATTCGGGCATGAATGGTGGCATTCACGAAGGCGGGACAAAGAGACGTTGTGGACGTGCGAGGTGCCTCTCAATGCACCCACACAGGCTGGGCACACGTCACGGCTGGGCTCGCTCGCTCGCATAGCCAATGAGGAAACTCTGGCTTTATTTCAACCCGAACGTCTCAACTCAGGTCCAGGAAAATGACACTGAGGTACAAATGTCACTTTTATCCCGTGAGCTGGCGGGTGGCTTAAGGCATGTAGCTAACAAGGATCTGGGATCTAGATTCACACGGACATCCAATAGAGGGACGCTGTAAAGTAACCTACAGATACTGTGGCCCATTCCATGCCTGAGAAGCCATCTTACCTACATAGTTATCATGTGTGTTTATGAATGTTCCCCAACTGACCACCGGGGGCTCCACCTCTAAACCAGTCCCCAACAGGGCACTTAATGTGACTTCTTCAGAATGAATCCAGCTTCATAAACCCCCAGGCCACAAACTGAACACCTCCAGTAGGCATGGGATGTAATTTACTAAAGATTCTATGAGATACAAACACAATTATGTTACTGCATAAATAGAAGGAACGACGCACAGGCTACTAATGACCCATTTTAAAAGGAGAAACACAGACAAAACAACAGGTGAAGGCGGCTGGTGCAACTTACAGCTCGGTGAGTTGAAGGTTCTGGAACAGCTGCCATGATAAGGTGCTTAAGGGATTCTTGGACAAGTTTCTAAAAGGAAAAGAAGGGAAGGTGTTCAAAATCTGCAGTGATAAAAAAAAATAAAAAATCACCATACCACACAGCAACAGGGAATGCTGCATTTAATTTAATGAGCAGATTTCTCAAAGCCCCCCAAAACCCTGGATGGATGGATGGATGGATGGATGGTACAATAATTCCACATGAAGGACAGAAAACCTATCATCTCGAAATTCACAGCATGAAGACCAGATAAGGAAGGAAATTCAACACAAACCTTTCAGCAAACCTAACCAAATGATGAAATCTGGAGCCTGTTTCACAAAGCAGGATTTCTTGCTTAGCTGGATAACTTGTCAGATTTAAGGCAGTTTGGGCTAAATGGACTATATCTTCCTTCACTTACATTTAGCTCAGACTACCTTAAATCCAACAAGTTATCTGGCTAAGCAAGAAATCCTCCTTTGTGATACAGGCCCCTGGATTTTTGGTTTAGGGGCAATCTCCTGTTTGCAGCAAGTCACAGGAGATTAAAGGAAACACAGGAATAAATGCTGTCTGTACATTAAAACCAGTTGAGCTACAGCTCTGGCACCAGCACAATGATGATTTTTCATGGTTATATTAAATGATGATGCTGCCACATGTAAAAGTCCCCCCCCCCCCCCCCACCCCGCAGTCGAGAGCTAAAAACCCCCCCATGACCCATGTCAGATCACAGCACAAGCCGCCGACATGTAATCAGTTTGTATTCTGCAGTTTCCTGCACTTTATTGCAGCCAAGCGTGGTGCATCATCCCAGACTTGGCTCGGCCAGGTGAAGCACAGGGGGTGCTGACTGCGGTCAGGTGAGTGGGGGGAGGGGAGTGAGGTTCACACCAAAATGGCCGCATCCTCATGCAGAAAGGCATTCACTGCTTGTAAACTCTCCTGGTTGGAGTTCAATCCACTCTACCCCGTACCTCCAACACCGGTATGAGGGGGCGTGCAGATCTGCTAGCTCCTGCAGCCTGGAGATGCCAATGGGAGAGTCACTTGCTGCTCCCAAGGTGCCATGTAAAGGAATAAGGGTCTGTCACCGTGTGTGTCTGTGCGTCCCCACAATGTCATACACACCTGCTATTTGGACATTGAGGGGACAATTTTTCAGGTCCCCACAAAGATCTGTGAATGCAATGAAAAAACTAAAAATGCTACAAGCCTTGTATTTTGCTTGGTTATTTATGGTTACGGTTAGGGCTGGGTAGGGATTAAGGGTATCAGGTTGGCATTAGAGTTTTCCCCACAGAAACAAACGGAAAGTCCCCACAAAGATATAATTACAAACTTGTTTTTCTGTGTGTGTGTGTGTGCGTGTGTGTGCGCGTGTGTGTGCGCGCGTGCGTGCATGCGTGCGTTCGTGCATGCATGTGTGTGTGTGTGTTGGGGGAGGGCTATCAATGTATTCCATACATTAATGCACACTTTACCACACAGACCAAACAGAAACACTTTAATGCTGCTATGCTGTACTTGTTTGCTTTTGTTTGCTCCTTTTCACGTCGTCACTTTGGGGCTGTGGGCTCACGCACTGATGTAAAAACCCAGTGAGGGAACTTCAGTGCTGTGACCCACGTCGAAGACGAGGGCGACTAAATCCTGAGTGTGGCCGCTCCGCCGGCCCAGCACCGCATCCGCTCACAAGCAGCAGCGCTCCCCGCTCGGACCAGTCTCCATGGCAACGGCAGGCTGAGAACCCTCTGACTCTCATCTCGGCGATGCAGCCGGCGTTCCTCAGAGAGAGCCTTTCCTGTCAGCGCTTTTGCTGAGAGGAAGGGAAAGAATGTGGAAGGATGGGAGGGATAAGGAGGAGGATGAGGAAGATGCTGAAGTTGGGAAGGATGAGGACAATGGAGAGAATGGGGAGGATGAGGAAGACGACGTAGATAGGAGCATACAGAGAATGGGGAGATGAAGAGGATGGAGAGGATGAGGAGTATAGAGGGAATGGGGAGAATGAGGAGGAGGATGGAGAGGATGCGGAGCATGGAGACAATGGGGAGGATGAGGAGAGTAAAGGGAATGGGGAGGATGAGGAGGATGGGAGAATGGAGAGAACTGGGAGGATGAAGAGGAGGGGAGCAGAGAGAATGGGGAGAATGAGGAGCATGGAGACAATTGGGAGGATCAGGAAGAGAATGGAGAGGATGCGGAGCACAGGGAGAATTGGGAGGATGAGGAGGATGGAGTGAATTGGGAGGATGAGGAGTGTACAGGGAATGGGGAGGATGAAGAGGATGGGAGGAAATTCCATGGCTGGAGTGAGGCACCCAGTTGCCAGATTCCCAGAAGCATTTCCTGGATGCCTCTTCAAGGACAAAGTTGCCTCTGTGAGCACATCCCTGGATCACTGCCCACCACAGAACCGAACAGTAACTAAACAGCCAAGGGGTCTAAGGTAGCCCTGTGGCCTCAAACATCCCAGCCAGTGGGCTCGACTTTAGCCCAGGCTGAGCACGTGAAGCTTCTCCACATGTCCATGCTGGTGGCACTCTCTCCCAGTGTGCCCCCTGCCTCATGTCCTGTACGACCTGGCACTATCTCTCTGGCTCGTGTGGGGGATTCTGGGAAATAGATCGGTGGATCTCCTTTTCTAAAGAGGGTAACAGGCTCTCAAAGGCACAATTGCTGTACTAGAACTATCATTACTGCTAACTACCTTAACTATTATCACTAATTACTTCTACAACCGCTACCATTAGATTTACAATTAATAACTGGGTCTTTATGAAAGCAGGACATCAATCTGCCGACTTCATCAATAATAGACAGTATTTAGCCCAAACAGAGGAAACTCAGTATCTTTCTAGAAGCACAGTCACCATCCGATCAGACAAATAAATGTGAGAAAGTCTCATTCTATCTGTTATGTTCGATTTGTTTGTTCACGTACAGATCGACCACGAAACAGCCTCGGTCATCATGTGACGGGAAAAAGGCCAGATTTGCACGGAATCCCGAAAGCGCCAGGTTCTGCTGAACACGGTCTGTTATCGGCGCACTCAGCAAAATGCCGGCCTGCTTTTGAAAACGGCTAAAAGTGGGCCAGCTCCAGAGAGGTGGGCCAGGTCGAAACGGACCGATTCGGACTCGCAGGCGGCCTTTGCAGAGCCGGTAGGAAGTGTCCTTTTCAAAGGTCATCCTCTGCCACAGTGCAGAGAAATGTCAACTCAAATTGGATTTGGTGGAAGGCAATAAATAAAAAATAAATCAGCCGTCACACGTGACGAGAAACCCAATGATGGGCAGCGTGCAATTATGAAAATTGAGAGGGATCAGTGCAATGAGTGAATCAGTGTAACACAGGACCAGAGGCTTCAAAGGCACAAAGGACTCACCCTTGATATTTTTTTGGTCTTTTCCCCTAGATATTTTGTTTTAAAATGTCCGTGTCATTACTTCTCAGCTCAGACCCATTTCCATTTAAAATGCAACATTATTAGGGCCCATTCTGTCTGTCTTTGAGCAGAGAAATTGCTGGAATATCCATTATTCATAATTATAGAGGGCGCTCTGTCTTCCTCGGCCTTCCTTCTTCCTCAGGCCTGTTCTGTCACCATTTTGTACCTTTTCAATAGCAAACCATCTTACGGGCAAAGCTCTCGATGGTGCCGTTTCCAGGAACATTATTAAGAAAGTTTTAAAGACATGGGGCCATTGAAGTTATATGAAAGATCAGAAACATGTGACGCTCGAGATAGAAAATGGCAGCGTGCTTAAGGACACGAGAACAAAATTGAAGCTCCTTGACAACGGGCCGCCTGTTGTACTCCTGGGTATGATACTTCATCTGATCTTCCCTGGGAAAACTCATAAATCGCTTGGACAAAAACGATAGCTCAGTGTCTCCCAATCCAGTCCTTGGGGACTTAGAGACAATCCACGTTTTTGCTCCCTCCCAGCTCCCTGCCAGATGGTCCACATTTCTGCTCCCTCCTAGGTCCTAGGAAGGGAGCTGGGAGGCAGCAAAAACATGGACTGTCTCTAGGTCCCCAAGGACCGGATTGAGAAATACTGCATTAGCTAATTGTCGAACACAGCTGCTACTATTCTGTGTCTTTAACGTTTATGTTGGACCTTACAGCGATGGGATCACCTGCCCCTCAGGGTCTCCAGGAGGAGACCAGGGCAAGCACATCATGATTTTCATACACAAATCAGGGAAAAGACTAAGAAACATCAAAGCCATGATCTTGTGTCCGTTTATGATCTGGTGGACGAGTAGTAGTAAATTACTAGTGCGATTTTAATTAGATTAGAGAGCTTCTTAATGTCTCCCAGCATGCGGCACAATGAATCAAACCTGCAGTAGAGACTTCAAACATGTATAATTAAAGCAAAATGCATATTCTTCTCCTTTAATCCATGTGGGAAATAACGAGTGATAACGGAATTATCTCCCCAACTCCACATTACAACACTGTCATTGTTTGATCAGTAAATAATTATCTCTCAACAACTGCTCTTAATTAATTCCCCTATCCACCCTCTCCCCTTCCTTCCTGTCACTACTCGACAAACCGGGCAAGACTAGTTAAACTTACTTTTGTATATAACAAAGATGTGATGTTTCAGCAGTGTGTTACTAAAGTAATCAACTTGCAACCCATAGGATGTTGGTTCGAATCCCAGAAATGGCCAGGCTGTGATCCAGAATAAGGAACCAGGACCACAAATTGCTCTAGAAACTATGTCCATCTGTACATAGTGGAAAAAAACATAATTCTTTGGGTTAAGCTACTGGTTAATTTAAAAATGCAATTGGATGACATTCCAGAAGTATCCACCATCTAATGTGGCTCAGTGTTGAGAATTCACAGTGTGGACCGATGATGATGATGATGACGATGATGAGCGCTTTCGGGTGCTGGTGTGTCAGGCAAATAAGTGAATAGGCATGAAGGCCCATCGTCTCCTTGAAATGCGCCCGGTGTGGGGCGGAGGGCTGACTTGGCTCAGAGCGCAGGGGGGAGGTGACACAAGGCTGTTTG